TGCATCCAACTTCCGTGTTTTGTTTTTTTTTTTCTGGAATCGGCGTATTAGTCAAATGAGGAATTTTACGTTGAAGTTAAGGGCTCACTAGTCTGGCGTTTGTAGGCATTATACTAGGTTCTGCTGCAATATTTTAACGGGAAGAAAATTTTAAAAGATAGAGGGATGCGTCCTTTAATTGGCAGCTAGCCGAAAATGAGAAAATTCTGAACGGCCCTTAGAAAATGACGCTCGGGATATATCCAATCATGTCGATGCTTGGATAGCTTTCCTGCATCGTTTGCCACGTGAAGCTCTGACAATTACAACTTTTGAAACAATGAACGATCGAGGTTAAATATTATAAGACAGCATTGGTATTTTGTTGTATAGAGCGGTTTTCATTTGAGTAGGAAACGTAATTGGTTTTGCACTTACTACGCCACCCGATTGGTTTAAAAAACTCGCGCTACTTTTTCATCTAATCAGGAGTAAAACCAATACCAGTTGTCACTCGCTCGCACGCGTTTCCCCGCGCTTTGCATCAGCTACATGTAATTACTTCGAGTTTTGATTGGTTCACTGTATTGTCTATGTGTTTTGTGATTGGCCAGAGTGATTACTTTGGTTTTGGTTTTACGACACTCGATTGAAAACCGCTCTATTCTCCTTCATTGCATTACAAACTGAAGGGTTGTAGCTCATATTTAGACTGAAAAAGCGGAGATTGAATATAATATATAAATTAAATTTGGCTCATTCAAAAAATTGCATTTTTCATGAATACTGGCACGATGAAAAATGTATTCCAAAATATGTCTTTGCCGATTCATTGATATGAGAGGGCTCACAACATTCATATTAGCTAAAATTCATAATCATAAGTGTAGCTGTGGTCAATTTAGGGAAAGGTGAACTTGAAATTTAAGATTTAAACACAAAAAAATACGGTTAAATTTGTTTCTGACTTCTGCTCATTAACCTTTTTTCTTTGTCACTATAAAACACCTGTTTATTTCTTTTGCTCTCAACTCTGCGCGCAATTGACAGAAAAAAGCCGAAACTCATTCATAGCAGTCAATAAAGACAAGATTAAAGCCAACTTAGCCGATTAAATTCAGTTTGTGAATATTTATTTTCAATTTCTGTTTTGAAATACAGTTCAAGTTATGACAGTAATTGTGTCCGAAAAAAGTGTCGATTTAGCGCTGTACGTCTCTGTTTCCGCCTGCTCTAGCTTAATATTGATTAAGATTATCGATATCAAACAGAAGATAAATATGATATTACTTGGCTCGTATACTTGTACTACGCCATTAATATTCTGGCATCTGTCCCCTGTTTTAATAGTATATGCTACTTTTCTACTGTTTTAAGGGCTAATTGCATCCGAGAAGAAACTGTTCTACACCGAAGACCTGTCAGTTTTCTTCTCAACACAATCAGAGCTAGAAACGAAGACTGTACGGTTCTGTTCTTGTTTTTGGTTGACCTGGACTTCATCTTCAGTCCTTCCCTCGGCAATCCCAGCTCCGTGACTCCCTTCCCTGGTGTTGTCCGATGACCTAACGAGTCTCTTTTCAATGTCTTTAGCTTCTTGGTAACTTTTTTCTTAAGAACAATTCAACAAACGCAACTCGAAACTGCCTTTTTCTTACTGCATAAATCATTGGATTAACAACTGAATTAAACATGACTGGCAAAGTTACAAGGGAACGAACAAAAAATTCAATATCAATCGGGGTTCTTCAATGAAATACTGTAAAACAACTTTACTAGCGATTAAGGAAGGGCAAAAAGACAGAAAAAGTGCTACTAATATTATTGTAGTTAATTTCAAGGCTTTTTTTTCCTTCATAAACTTTCGCCTGGCCTCAATGGAAACTTGCTGAGAAAGAATCGTTTTTTCATGTCGACGGGCTTCCACATAAACAACAACTTGGAACCAAAAGATCATTAAGATACTTGCTGGCGGAAGGGCATGAAACAGAGAGATGAAAATAGGAGAAAGTTCCTGGAAACTGGCTAGAAGAACTGCTACGATCCAAGCCAGAGCAGAAAAAACCAGTCGACGGGTTTTAGTAACAACTGTACTATGAGTGAAGGCATGTTTAATTGCCAAATATCGCTCAGCACTGACTACAGTCAATTGATACAGCGAAGCAGCACAGCAAACGGTCAAGGAAATGATGAAGGCCAAAATTAGTTCACAGAAGTCTTCATAGCTTTTGCCCTGCAGCTGGAAAACAATCATGGTTATGTGAAGGAGTTGTACAATAAGACCAACCATAAGATCCGTAAGAGCCAAACAAGCCAACAGAATGTTTGGGTGCGTTTGAAGTCGTCGTTTGGTTTTCACGACAGCAATAACCAACGTGTTCAACAGAATGTTGAAGGGACAAGCGACAAATTCGAGGACCGCTGCTGCAATAAGAAATCCATAGAAATTGGCTGGAAAAAATCCTTCTGGAACATCTTTTAAAAAAAAGCTTTTACAAGCTTTGTCAGTTCCGTTAGATGGAGACATCAGAACCATGTTTCATGAATCTTCCTCGTTTATTGTGATGTGCTGCTCAGTCTAAGTTTGATTAGACTTCTCACTAGCGTTAATTAAAAACTCTCTACTGCACAGGCTTAATGAAACCCACCTCAAGAACAGTTTAACGAGCTGACCTCAATCAGTTGTTGCCATAGTAACCATGAATTACGTCATAACGAGGAGTAGCCGCGTGAATGGCAATTGATGATCAATACCAGGACAAACATCAATTTATTTCTTACAGCAACAGAAGGTTTAACTGTCAAGTGTGGACTTTCGCTATGTAAAAGTACATGAGAACCTGAATTTCGTTTAACAGAAACGATCATGAAAATCACGGTAACTATGTACAATAACTCAAACCTAAAATGTAGAAACGATTTCTATTTTGTAATCTTTAATCCTTTACGAAATTCTTGAAAGCCCACTGAGTTATCTCTGAAGGCAGTCCACTTGTAACCTTGGTAAATGCTCTGACTGACAGCAACATAAAGCAGATTCTATTCATGGAGTCCATGCCAAACTTTGTAGTTTTTGATTTCACAGTTCGATACAAATTCAAAGTCGTTTTAAAAGATTTTCGCGATTTTCTTTTTGGAGGAGTTCTGTTTAGATGTAATTTGTTGGTTATAGTTATCGAGAACCAACAGCGAAATTTTCGAGATCCTCGTGCGATAGCCTTATCTTTGCGTCTATACTTTTAAAAAGATCACTGACTATCAGTCAGTAAGCGTTCGAGAAGGTGAAAAGCAAGAGTAGGATTTTAATTTAATAAAAGTTTTAATTGTTTAACACGGTTATATACCCGAATATATCTACTACAGTTCAGCACCAAAACACAACTCATAAAATAGCACAGAAGCTTATCGTCTGGTAATATGCTTCTGAATAGCACTATACTCCATTGCTCCGTCATTGGATTTTAAGAAGTATATATTTGTTGCACATGGCAAAACATAATCGTTTTTCTAACATAACTTCGGGAAAGTCTAGAAATTTAATACACAATTTTTCGTGCATTCAGGGCAATGTTTGAATTTTGCCTATGAATTTATCTCGTCCTCGAGACGGTGCCGACTTCTCTTGTTTTTAGAAAGACAAATGAAATGAGGTTGTCATTATCATTATTGTATAGCGATATCGGGAAAGATGCATAATTTCTACGCTTTTCTAGTTTTAAAAACGATATCTACAATATTTCCTGAAATCTGAAGCGAAACTTTTTCTTGGTAATAAATCAGATTTTTTACTTAACTGAAGCATCTGTTAAACAACGTAGTAAGTAAAACCCATTAGTCAAATAAGGAGCTGTTGACAGTTGGATTAAATAAAGTATTTTCACATGACGTTATGGCGGCCATGCCATAAAATTAAGATAACAAAGCTCTTTACATATGCAAAAAGGAAAGGCTCTGCCTTCCTTGTTTTGCCGTTCTGATCATTTTAGGCTGTAGTTTATTTACCAAGGGTTAATATGTATTTCTTCAATAACTACAAGATGTTTCGCATAAAAGCTAGCTGGCTATAACTACTATACAAGCAGCACACGCATTACTGATTACCATCCGATTTCTAGCCCAGAGGGGTGTGGGTAATCCTTTATATGGGTTGTATGGGTAAGTGCGGCCCCAAAGGGTATGGTTTTTCAACTGTTTTGGTCACAAATATATGCGGTATGGATTTTGGCCATTTTGGTCATAAACAGAGTCTGGTTTTTGCACTCTAATTTTGAATTTGAGTATTTTCTTTTAGAAGAAGCTACTTTGTTATCATTATCAATAAGACCATCAACAAAATCCCTTCACTGAATTATGTTTGCGGCAATTAAACATTGGTCTGAACTAGGGAACTAATTACGTGGCAGGTCTGAAACAGGGCATTGATTTAATGGTCAGGTCCTTGTGGTCATAAATAGGGTAAAGATTTTGGGAAACAAGGAGCATACTCTCAACCAATTTTTCTGGCGGCACCTACTTACCCCCCCCCCCGGATTTCTCGTCGTTAAATAGATTTGCGTTGTCCGAACTTTTGTGGGGGTGAGTTGGCCTAATGGTAGCGCGCTGGACTCTAGATGGAGCGGTCCGGTTCCGGTTCGCTCCGGGTTCATTGCGTTGTGTTCTTCGGTAAACGGATATTTTAGTCTCAGGGTGCCTTTGTCCAGCCGGGTGAATAAATGGGCACCAGCGCATTTAATGTTAGGGAAGGATAACTCTGCGATGGACTAGAATCCCATCCAAGGGGGGAGTAGAAATACTCCTAGCCACTTCATGCAACAGAAATCGCGATAAACTCCTGCTCTATGGACCATAGGCCTGACTTAGACTTTAATCCGAACTCTTCCGAAAAACGCTCGTCTGTACACGAACATTCGTTGAGGTATCATTTTCCCGACAGGCCTGAAGAGCGAAGTTATCATCGTGCAAAGTTCAACGTAGACAGGTCATGCTTTCTGTCGTATTTGTGAAGTGGGTGTTTTCTTTAGTTGTAAAGGTTTGGAGACGTTCGAGAACAGTGTAACTGAGTTATGACATTGCCGAGATTTTTTCCCCATGACTGAGTAACGGCAGTCATTAAAATGATAAATTCTCTATATTTTACAAACATTTAATATTTCAAATCCTAAGTTTCCTAAATTTGACGTTCCAAAATCTTGACTTCTCGAGATTTGTCACATTCTAAGAATAGATGAAATGCTGAACGCGCTTGGTAAGAGCCCGGAGAGAGAGAGCATACGATACGACACGCGAATTTTCGAGACATCACCCCAGCAAAGTATCCTGCTAAAGTCCAAGAACTGTCGATCTAAGTGTTTTAATTTGAGAAGCATATTTACGTATGTACGCCATTTGACCGGCCGAAACCGTCGCTAATCCCGGAAAACAGGTTCATCAGTCAAGAGTTTATATTTGATATCGTCTTACAAATTATTCCTTCTTAAGGTCCGCTACCCAAAAAGCGGAAAAGAAGTCAGTGTTTGGGTGGGAGATACGGGAATATCCATCATCAGTTCAAATCGGTCGATGAGTTTAAACGCAACAAGCCATGAAAAATTAAAGGAACAAGCGAGCGAATAGTGGAGAAAGGAAGCCAAGGCAGGTGTCTCTATGTTATTTTCATGTTAGAG